GAGGTATCACGCCGCATTTGAAGGTGTTTTCAAATTGGCCAAGTTCCGATACCCGGATTATCGTTTTGAATATAGTTCATACTCTTTTGTTATATTCCGTACCACTCGTCTATTTTTAGTCCTCGTAGAAAAACCACCCATTTGCTGAATACAATTCTAGCTGGAGCGCACTTCAGCTATGCATTCACCACTGCAAAAATGTCAAAGGAAATCGACGCGTCCAGCGTGCATGGAGGCTATCTCCATTTAAATCTTCCGTCACATTCTTACGGCGCAATGATACAACTATTTGAACTCTCCGGAATGCGTGAGGTATCACGCCGCATTTGAAGGCGTTTTCAAAACAGCCAAGTTCCGTCATCGGATTAATCGTTTTGCATAGTTCATATTATTTTGTTTCCATTTCTAACCACTTGTTTATTTTCAATCCTCGTAGAAAAACCACCCATTTGCTAAATACAATTCTAGCTGGAGCGCACTTCAGCTATGCATTCACCACTGCAAAAATGTCGAGGGAAGTCGACAAGCCCAGCGTGCATGAAGGCAGGCCCGGCACAAGGCGGGGATACTTGGTTCCTGGTACCGGGGCCCGGGCCCTGGAGGGGGCCCGTGTTACCTGTGAAAACCCACTACGAATTCACATGCAACCCTTGTTTCGTAAGAAAAAGTGAAAAATTAACCTTAAAAATTTCGCAAAAGGTGAATAGATTTTCTGAAACAAGCTGGGGCACTGTAGAATTCTTCTTAAATTTTTAAAGAAGTATACTTCTTTGAAAATTTCTATCTATTTTCAAGATTTTCAGCACAGAGGGATATTTTTAGTAACTGCGTTTCATTTTCTTCCGTCGTCAGATGGTATGAGTCTCCAGTATGGGCAATTGGGCATCCTCGACTTCAATGGCTCATGGCTCAACTCCCGTGCTATAGACAAACGAAGGGGGAGTCCAGGGTGGCCTGGCCCTTTCAGAACTGAAAATAGTATCATATGCCCCCCCCCCCCAAAAAAAAAATAAAGTAAAAATTTTCCAGATGTTTTGAATGCAACAATTCGCAAGTATTTTGTGCTGAAAGTAGAAAAAAAATTCATAATTATTGATGAAAGAATATATAATATATAATATATGATATATAATAATTATATATGACAGAAATTGATGGAACAATTATTTATGGAAGCTTCAAAATGCGTCTGATTAGTCGCATAAATTCTAATATTTCTCGGGGGATGCCCCTCGGACCCCCCCCCCTCCGTGCTTGGGGCCCGGGCCTTAAAACTGGTACCAGGGCCCGAGATGGGATGTGGCGGGTCTGATTTTACCTATTTTTTGTCGATGATAAACTCAAGGGAGTTTATTCTTTGTCGTCCAAGGTGCGTAAACTCATTTGACGTGGAGTAGACTCTACGTAATGCATACCAATGGACCACTAGACAAGGTACGAATTTAAGCAATCTGATACATGTTTCTTAACCAGAATTTTACGCAAAACACGATTCTTACAACGAAAATTACTGAAACCAACTTTTAACGAAGATATGAACGTTTTTATTACACATTGGTTACGAGGAATTTGAACTGCCCGCTCACAAGAAACTTAAAGCTCTACGTGAGTCAAATCGCACCATACAACGGTTTCAGCGATCTTCTCAATCGAGCAATGTTCATTTCCCACCATGTGTTGTTCAAACTATACGCAATTTGCTATAGCTGAGCCAAAGCCAAAGTGTCAAGATTGATCGAGGTTGCCAGATTTTTATATCGCAGAGCCTGTCATGATAACGTTTAGCGCTCAATGTGAATCACGTAGAGCATTCGAGTTTTCATGAGCGGGTGGTTTGAATTCACGCATTAAGAATCATTAAATATCTTCGTAAGGTATTGATTCCGGTAATTTTCGTTGTAAGAATCGTGTTTTACGTAAAATTTTGGTTTAGAAACATGTATCAGAATGCTGAAATTCGTACCTTGTCTAGTGGTCCATTCATCCACACCCCCTGCTTCCATGCTCGTGGGATTCATAAGAAGATATCTGGCTTGTTAGTATCGTAGTGGCATGGGAAAATCAAGGCCCTCTGAAAGGTCATTAGAATTAAATAAAAAGGAGAAAAGAGGAATGAGGATAAAAAAAAGCGGGAAAAATCGAAAGGAACAGCTGAAAGTTTGAAATGACGTCAAAGTTGTACATATCACGCATGGCTTCGGACTTCAAAGGTTGCCTCTTGAGATGACGAACACGTACATATAAGTCTCGCTCCACAAACTTCGATGAAGCAAATGAAGAATACCACCCTAAATCTACCGGTCGCGATCGAAAAACGGAAGTTCGTCCTCAACTTCAGCGCAACAACGCTCTGCGTGGGCAACAAACAGGATGGTTGTTTCGAAAATTAAAGGGATAATTCTAATTTTCCGTCAAAAAACACGCTCTGGCACCAAGGATCCTAAAAATTGATCGAACAGGAGCCAAGATTGCAGCCAAGTTCAATGCGGTTCAGCTTCAGAATGAGGAGTTTGGGTTTCACACTGATGATACAAATATATCGACTCCGGTGTGTCGCACAGTATCAAGGTAAATTGAAGGCGTTTTTTGCTCGTTAAGCGGGCGACGACGCGATGCGACATAACACAACGCGACGGTGAGAAGTAATGCGGGTATGCCTTATGATGGAGAACTGTTGCTTCCAAAAATCCGGTTGCAGGGAGGGGGAAATCAACCAACGAAATGAATGAATAAATTATTATTTATAATTGGACCAAAATCCATCTCCTTGCTATCGTATTTACGATTAAAATAAGATTTAAATCAGTGCAATTAAAAAAGTTGAGACTGAACAGTAACCATGGGTAAGCTCCATGAAACCTCACAAGTTTATCGGTTTGTAATTTATGGCTGCATGACCCACTTGACCATTTCATTCGCACTTCAAGGGAACTTACTCGGTGGTTTTTAATGTTTATCTATTAATTGATTTCATTTTATTTCATGAGCAAAATGTTTAGAATAATGGAAACAGGAAACGGCACTTATAATTCTTAATAATAACCTACTAAAAAAAATAAATTACGAATAAATAAATAAATAAATAAACAAACAAACAAACAAACAAAAAAACAATCAAACAAACAAACAAACAAACAAACAAACGAACGAACGAACGAACGAACGAACGAACGAACGAACGAACGAACGAACGAACGAACAAGCAAGCAAGCAAGCAAAAAACATACAAACAAACTAACAGACAAATACCACGGCGTGATGAAATTATAAGATCGCCCCTGTCATTTCTCCTGCAATTTAAATATATTAAAACGCAAAATATCCAAAATCTAAGCTCAGATTCGGATTCCTCGTGAAAAACTGATGAGATTTCATGTATCGTAAGTTAGCATTCGTGTAGAAAGGAAGGTAAATGTAAGCATTGAGACTTTCCTTTGAGCTATGCCGCCAGGGCCGCCAGCGAGTGCGGGTTCCGGGAATCTGCCCTTAGCGCCAGCGGCGCTAAGCTTCGGTTTCGTTTCGCAGAATTTCTGAGAAGAGAACTTTCTTCTTACTCATCCGCCTACACACTCAGTTGCCGTCACCCACGTTGCCACGTTGCGTTGGAATCTGTACGCACACGTTACGCTACGCTGGCGTATGATACATGAAATCGCAACGATTTTTAACGAGGAATCCAAATCTGATGAGCATAGATTTTTAATTTCACGCGTTTTAAGTCAAATTTTCAAAACTCCAAAATTTCAAATGGTAAACGTGACCTAAAATACTATCTCGACTCCATTTTGTTCAATTTTTGTGAAACTTAGGATAGGGGGGTATTTCTCAATGGGAATCTCGAATTTTTAGTTAAAATTCCAAAATAAAAATATCCAAGATGGCAGGCACGTAGCCAAAAATGCCTTCAATGTCAAATTCGCCTTCAATTTCACCGTATAGACAACATACATACCGGGAGTCGCGAATAGTTCACTTTCAGAAAAAAGCTCAAATATCTCACTCCGTTAAGGTCGGTAATGTGAATAGACGACATGGGGGGGGGGGGGGGGGGGGGTGTGTTCCTGTTCCCGCGTTTGCCCACTGCTTTTTCGCGAGAGCTACTGAGAAAGTAAGTAAAGATTCCTGTATAAAATCGATCAACTACCCTAATGAATTTTTGCTTTCCCGTTCCCGACAGTTTCCTCGAAGGAGTTATCTAATCGAATATTTCTTTTTCTTCTTTTTCTTGAAAAATCTTTTGGCCAACTTTTGCATACATTATGCCTGAGGACAACTATTCCGTGTTATCAATTCGCGAAATTCGAGAGTAGGTAAGAAAAAAACCAAGATATCTTGACTCTCCTTGTACGCCCCCCCCCCTCCCCCCAAACACACTTATCCAATTCCCTCGCCGACCCTTGCACGGAGTTTTCTGAGTTTTCCAAGGCATGGCACACTATTTTGTTTAATTTAGAAGCTTTACGCACCTGAAGTTTTGAGAGGTATTTTGAATAACTTCACCGCCCTGTGATATCCAATTTTCCTTAGCCGTGTAGAAATCGACACAATCAGATTCCTTACTGCGAAAGTAAACTCCATTCAATTCGATTAAAAAAATCCACTAATTGGAAGTTGGAGAGAGAAATCTCTTCACTTATAAAATTCTGCTTGGTGGGGAAATTTAGGCGTTTTAAAGCGGAAAGCGGGGAAGTTTTCAACTTTGTTTCGAGTGGTAACACTGCGTTGCAGTTTGCACTGTTGCATTTCTTTGTATTATCTGTGCCGATTCCTGATAGTGACGTACGCTGAACGCTCACGTCCAGGCGATAAAAAACCTTCAGAGTTCTACGAGTACTTGACCAAAGAAACAATAAGTGCAATTCTTGTACTGAAGAAATGTTCAAAAATGACATTTTACTCTGGGATCTCTAGGTCTCCAGGTTTACTTTAACACCGGAATCACAAGTTCGCGGTCCTTTGCAAAAATGGTCACAAAGGTTAGCAAACCGGCAACTTCGGCTGTTTCCCGTGTTATTGGTTGATGGTTTCCTTGCATTGTTCGTCGTGTGAACATTTTTCCAATGAATTGTGAAAGTTTTTATTATTTATTTGTTATTAAGTGTTAGTATCAACTCGTCGCGATGGCGAAGTTAGTCGATGTTTTCAAAAGTGAAACCCAAGTCTTGGGTAAAAGACAATTACCCCTTAAAATTGACGACTGTCTGACGGTAAGTAACACATACCTTTGAAGGCCTACTTTTATGTAGATCACACCGAAAAACTATTAATGTCCTTCGTGGCGGTTTTCCGATTTTACTTTTCGGAAGCCCGTTTATTGTAGCGATGTCTCGCATTTATGCGTCAATTTTTCCTTAGTTTCTGCACACTCAATTCTGACTCTCATTTACTGAGGATTATTATTGAGCCTAAGGTACTCCACCCCAAGAGTTAAGGGGGCAGACCACCATGTCACCATCCTTTAGGTTGCCTTTGCAGTTTATCATTTAAACATCTTGACCCTTTTAAAGTCAACGGAATTTCTAGAAAGCCCACGGTATTAAGTAATTCCAAATAAGATTATTCAGCTGAACTGGGTTTGTATGTGTTTGCTGAAAGACGCTCGTCTCAATCCTGTATCGCTGACGCTACACCTTGTCAAACCATTTTCCCCAACCCGCTCAGTCCTTAAACTTTGCTCTGACTATATTCCCGATCATTTTGCCCCTTGAGTACGAAATCATTGTCAAAAAATGAAGTAAGAGTCTACACCCTTTTCAAAGTATGAAATAAGTAGGAACTTGTGTTTGAATCTTCATTTATGACACCACTATTCCTCTTACCTATTGTAAACGGACTAAGTTATAGTTTCATGTTACAAGTAAGTAAGAAAAGTGAGGACCCAATTTTCATTTTGTCCATCAAAGTAAATATGCTTGTTTTCCTCTGGACGAAACACCTACTTACTCGGTGTTTATCCCCCTCAAGTTGAAAACCGCCTTCTGAACTTCTAAACATAATGTTACATGTGCGTAGTCAGTTACTTGCTCCCCAAGTGTTTTATCTATTTCTGTAGCAGTTCCAACATCACACTCGGTAGCCTTCAAATAGTATTACATTTTCTGTTTCAGTGACATCCTATATAATATGAGCTCATTTCGTAGTTAACCTCCTTACTCACCTTGAATTCCATTCACTAAATCGCGCCTTGTTCACCGATATATTATTTGCTTTGTGATCCGTTTAAGATGGCAAATAAGTATTTGTGGAAAATATGGATCAAGTTCAGCAGAAGGGATCTAACACAGTTGCAATACTGTAAAAATCATGCTACTTAATCTTTATCTAGAGAATACCCTTATGTCCAAATTCCTTTGGGTTTGCTAAAACAAATTTTCTATTGTAATGAAAATTATTCTGTATATTTCGTTGAGAGAACATACATTCAAGTTTTTCAAAGACATAGAAAACATTGCAGGATTTTGTTAATACTGTAATTGCATAGGTATTGCTATTGCTGTATTGTTGTTGCTGTATTGCTGAATTGAACAGAGGGGACTCTGTTCAATTCGATCCAGATAAGGTGAATGGCGTTTCTTAAACCTATAGGTTTTGATGGCCTAATTGGACGTATTTCTATCAAACGGAAATAAGCGTCATATGGGGAGAAAGGGAAAGGGGGGCATGGATTGGCGGGTGTTGCGGAACGCGATGCTCGTCCTGTCCTATATTCGTAATGCTTTTCCATGGCGCTTAGCTCCGTTTGACAGAACGCACTATCCATAATTCTAAAATCCTCAAAAGGAACTCAATTTGGCGCTTAGTTCTGTCTAATAGGAATACATCCAATTATTCGTACAACTCTCTGAATCGAGATTTGATTTGAAAAATAGATGCAGCTTCTGCTCACTAATTTTACACGGACTGAGGTACCTACTTCCGCCCAATGACTTTGCTTCTAAAAAAAGTAGATTTGTAAATGTAGACAAGTAGGTAATAAGTAGCATTTCTACATAATCTGGATCCCTTTTTTGTTTGCAGCTTGTTATGGATTTGAATAGCATGGGTCTCGTCTATGATAATCCCATTGTCCGAGGGAAAGAGTTAGACGAGTTTACACGGAATTACAACATTCTGACTCTGGAAGAAGTCAAGCAAGCATTTCAAGTCACATGTAAAGATTTATTAGATATCCTAAGTCAAACAATTCCATGTGTCGGCTGCAGAAGAAGGTTCGTTTTTATTATTATCTTTTTTAAATGTATAGAATTCATATTGATTACCCACCCCTGATTAGTGAAGTAAAAAAGACTAACGGGTGCGCATGTAACAAGATCAAATTTCTACGATTTATCTAGTTCAAAAATTTAGGATAAAATCACCGTCAAGGTGCTTTTTGTGAGTGTACTGTGTCTATCTCAAAATGTCGGTTGCAATTTTCCTGAAACCTCATGTAGACAGGAAAGTCTTCTTGTACCATAGAATGACACGAAATATATTAGTTGTAGTAGTCTACGTACTCCTATTATGGGCTAGACTCCTCTCCTAGAAGGAAGGAGCGGCAGTGGTCTCGTTGGTATGTGCTCTTTACCCTTTCCTTTTGATATACCAGTGACCAATCTCATTGTACTGCAAGCTCAAGGGCTGTCTGATAAGCCAACGGCAGGCCGTACTAATAGCTGTGGCAAATGCCACCAAGCGCAACGTTTGGAGAACGGCCACACCCCTCAGTCGGACTCAATTGTTTCAATCTCCCACTGAAACTACTCCATCTTCTTGTTTCTGATCTAATGCTGGCAGTTGTGTGCGCTACAAGTAACGGACCATCTTAACAAAGCAGTGTAGATGTATTAATACTTGATGACCATGTCCCTATCGTACCCTGCTACCTCCAAGGGGCAAAAAACGAGTGGATTTATCACCCACAACCACCAAGATGAAATTTTAAATGCACTTAAAAACATGTCACCACCGGTACTGCAATGCTAGCAGCGAACTGTCTTGACTACACCACAGATGCTGGGATATCATGTACTACAAACTCGTTTTCTAAGCTGTGTAAAATTTGAAAAACATAATTTAACATTTTGAGCAATGTCAGCTCTATACTTGTGGAATTGAAGTGACCTGAGTTCCTGAGTGGATTGAAAAACTGAGTTTCAATTTTTAATTTTCTCTCCTCTCAGCATTGACAAGGCTAAGGAGGCCATTTTTTGTCTTGAACTGATTTGCGGTATATGCCATTAATGAGGTTAAAAATCAATGCAAACTTTGAGGCTTAGGCTTACATCAAACTGTATCTGTGTATGAGTCGAAAATACTACCTACATGTCTCAAAAAAGGGCTAAGAAAATAAGCAGAATATCTCTTGGAACCAGGGGTCCATCACAACACAGCAACCAATCCCCATTTTGAATGCAATACTTTTCCCAGAAATAAGTCCTCTGTTTATTTCCCCAAATTTTGACAAAATTTTGCAGGATTAATGTAATATGTAGCAAACCAGATGAATCATAACCAAATTCCAAAAACCAATAATCTGAACAGTGTCAAGCTTTTTTTTATTAGTGTGTTATGAATTTAAACTCTCTCCTATTCTCAGTATTATTGGAGAAGCTCTGGTTAACTCATTGGTGTTGAAAGTCAGTGATTTTTGCCGAATAATTGCTATCTACACTATGCTACACTATCAAAAGTGACTAAGAAAAATTGCCCATAGCTTTCGGAGGAACTTGCATATTTTTCCCTCCTGGCTTTTCATGAAAATCGTTTAAGGTAGTGAGCAATAACCTATTTAGATTCAGCCTTTCTGATCAGAGCCCATTTCTTGTGGATTTCTTCATCACCATGTCTTTTTGCTCCGCAGCGTAAGACTATTTTCGCTCATGCCAGTGCTCTGATCCAAGTGCGCCCATGAAGTTTTCTGTTTTGTTAACAGTGATGTTAACCAATAAATCTTATCTGTACGGTACATAACTGGCAAAAACTTACCCCTTAGTTTTTATTTTAATGTGCTAATGTTACTTAATTTTCTTATGCGCTCTGTATTTTTGCAGTGTCGAACGCTTGTTCTATCAACTGACGGCCTCAGGACATCCAGCTTTAGACCCTCTGGTGGTAACAGTTGATGGTATCTTAACCATTCAAGATGACCATTTGGCATGGCCCCAAGTTTTGTGTACCTTGCTCCATGGACATAGGTATGTAATATGTCCAAATTTTGATTACTTATCGCCCCTTAGTACTATGCTTTACGAATCTAATTGGTTCTGATCTTTTCCTGGGGTTTACAACTGTTACTGGCATTTTCAACCAAAATTTCTTTTGTCAAAAGGATACATGCCACCAATATCATTCTATTTTTACCCTTTCGAGGCAATGGATCTTTAGACAATGTACAAATGTAACCTCCTAAGTCCCCATGACAAGAAGTCTAGCCATTTATTTTAGTAGTGCTAGAGACCCAGTGGCAAAACAATCTGCCATTTCAAGTTCTAATTTGAGTTGCCAGAGCGCTGCACTGACACCATTGAATAACTTCGAGCTCTGATGTTCTATTTTCCGTGCAAAAGGAAGATTAGTGCGGCTTCTGCTTCTACTTTGAAGCTCCCTTTCTGAAGAAAATCTAAGTCTGCCCAAGTCAAATCAGGTGTCAACTAATTTTAGCCAGCACGTTTTGTATCTGCAGAGTTCTCTTTGAGTGCTCAGCTTTTATTGACAGTTTAATGAGTTCCGTGCAGTGCAGTTGAGGAAAAAATTTTGCAAGATGAAAACTGTTTATTTGTCAAACAAATAGATAAGATTGTTCTCAATGTTCTTGTTTCAACAATTAGGTTTCAATGACAGGAAGATGAGAAAAAAAGGGAAAAAGGACCAGTTCCAGAAAAAGGAGCTAATTGATATTCACACCCTTCTCATTGTCTGGGTTAGCCCAATTGTAGTAAGTCCCACTAATTCAAATACTGCTGTGCTTAAATTTTTCTCTGATATTTACTGTACATTAACTATTCTCTCCCCTTCCTTTGTCTATTCAGTACACGTCTAAACAGTCTGGCTGCCTGTTGGCCACGGTCCCGCAAGAGCCGACGCTGTGTTCTCCACTCTTTGGATAGTCAAAGACTATCCCGTCCAATGTTGTCTTGGAGAGACGTATGGGACTGCATGCGCCCGGAATGTCGCGAAGAGGTAGCATTAATTGATAGCTACACCTTGTTGGACACGCTCAATAACTATTTGAATAAACACAGGTATGTGCATAATTTTTTATTCACTTTTTAACTTGGCAAGATTTTTTTGTCGATCTACTGAAATCATCATATTAAAGTTTTACTGTTAAAAAGAATTTAAGTGAAATGTATTAATAAATTGGCTCCATAATCTATTCCAGATATTTACATTGTAATTAGGTAATTACGTAGAGCCTACCATCATCGTTATCAACTAGAGAGAGTGGACTCCCAAGAATAACTGATGGTAAAAAATCAGTGTTCCATTTTTTGTTTTGTACAAGTTCTATTTTATTCAATTAATATAACTTGGTGTTCATTGTTTTACTTTTTAGCTTGAAGATGTTTCCTCCACATTGGATAGTAGTTATTTATTTATTTATAATCCAATTTGATCCACAGGTTTTGCAGTGAATGTAGAACTAAAGTCATGAAAGCGTACACGTTGTTAGTTGAAGAGCCACAGCCAGCAAGAGAGAAAGGTTATAGGGCAGAACTGTACTCTAGTATCCGACGGTGTCTACTGGACAATCATGTTCATCTTGATACCAGGATCGATTACATTAGCTTCCTAATAGCGCGGGCAGAGCCTGAATTGATGGGCAAGTAAGTGAATTTTGGTCTTATTTATTTTTTTAATGTCCATCCTACATTTCTGCAGGTATATCAGCCAATTACAAATCACTCTATTTTCTCAAGTTACATGTGGGAACTAAAATGATGAATCTTGGCGTGTATGATAATTCGCAAATTGCATGGCCTTTACAATTTTCAGCCCTGTCCATAAAATTGGGACGCACCAATTTTGGCTTTTATGTAATTAGAGAGCAATTAGATAATTTGAGAATTTTAATATAAATTGCCAGTAAAATTAAAATTGAAGTTATCATATTACCTAGATAGTTTTCTCCTCAGAGATGGCCCTCCTTATGAAAGTTACCCCATCACCACTGCGCACTTAAACCCAAAAATTTCTGTCAAATACCCAAAGTTATCACACTTGAAAGTATTAATGAATAACCTCCCTCCAATAGCCCATTATCAATCAATCTATCAGAGCTATTTCACCCCTCAAATTTAAAAACTTGAAGAAACCCTTATTATTGTCATATTTCTGAAAATGGTATGTAGTTTAAGATGCTTTGGTTTCAAGTCACAAACCAGGCGTGAAAATAAAGAGCACTATTACTAAGGAGTTATTACTTTTCTAGCGGCAGAAGAGAACGACACGCTAAATCGTTAGAGGTGGCTCAAGAGGAAGTATTAACGTGCCTTGGTCTTGTTATCTACGAAAGGTTGTATCGAATTCAATTGAGATTGCGGGAAGAACAGTGTACATGTCAAGTTCTAGCGGCTGTTGCAATAGACGCCCTGTGTAGAAAGTTTCAGGTACAGTGTTCACTTTGAAAATATTTTTCATAACCTTTTTAAATGTACTTTTGAGTGTTATCTGGTTCACAAAATGTGGCAGAGAAGACCCATAAGAAAAGGAATTTCAATATCTACATGTTCAAAATTATTAGGGTATCAATGTACCAGCATTTGGCACCACTTTGTAGAGGGTTTTGCATATACATTTTGGCACGAACATTACTCAAAAGTTGAAACATAACTTGAAGTAGCACAGTTTGCAGTTGAAAAACTGTAGGCCTGAATTATCAGAATGCTAAAATTAGCTAATAAGAATTAGGCCTGAATTAGCTATTAAGCTATCCACAAACATTTTAATCTACCAAGTTTTGGGCTCAGTATTGTCAAATTAAATGTATCTTTACCACTTTTATTGGCAGAGAAATTAACTGAACTATTAGCAACTAGAGCACCTGAAAAGGGGGAGTTCAAACGTGTTGAAGTATGGGGCTCCTGTGACTCCATGAAGTGTAAATTTCAGTCGAACCTATTTTACTACGTATGCTCAATTTAAGTGCTTTGTTTTCAGATGGCAATAGAAAAAAAACGAGGTGTTTCAAAACTGGAATTGTTATGCAAAGAACTCAATAGAGAGGAACAGCTAGAACGAAGGAGGAAAGAGAGCAAGAAATTAAAGCGCAAGAAGAAGAAGGAAAAGAAAGCTGAAATGAATAATAAATGTGATGTAAGTTGTAAATCTTTACCCTCGAAATTTTACATTTTTAATGTATGATGAATTACTCAAAGTATGAGTGATACATGCCTTCTTAAGAAGCTATCCTTATTACACTTAATCTTTGGCAAGATTGGCGCAATTTGTGTCAATCTCAAGAGAACCAGGGCTGAAAAGTGCATTGCTTGGCATTTTAAGTGCATGTTGAATTATTTCATGAATATTTTCAATGTCTCATATCCTTTTTTTCTCCCAAGCCACCCTCGTATATGCCTCAGAATACTTTGTATCATTTTCTGATTGCTTCTCTCAGGTAAGAGGGGCACGCAAGCAACTTTTTTTGATTTTAGATCAGCATAGAATTTATTACATACTAATTTTTTATTTCATGACACTGCAAGAAGAAAGGAATTATGCAGCTACCTTTAGTCTCCCAGTGGGCAGCAATTATAACCTGAATCTAGTCTAGTTATGTTTGTCTGTTTTCTCCCCTTTTGTGCCTGCAATTTTATGTATTTTGATTATTTCATATTTTCAGCCAGAAGAGGTGCCAGAGGAAGAAGAAGAACCAGAACCGGTTTGTGAGGACTGCGACGAAAACTCAAGCTCTAGTGAATCTGAGCAGTACATTGATCATTTCTGTAATATTAAACAGACAAAGGTAATTTTCCTATCAATTTGTTCTTTTTACAATTCAATCATCCTGCTCTTATTTTATTCAAGCATATTGAGGTTGCCAAGTTTGCAGAACATGTTAGATAAGGGCGTTAGCAGGTCCAGAAAATGTGAAAAACAGGGAATCAATTGGCAGGAAATTTTATCAGGTTAAGGAAGAGTAGGGGAATTTTATGAAAAAGACTGGAAATTTGAAACATTCTGAAACTTGAAATCTGAAAGAACATCAAGGCTGTCCCTACAATCAAATTGAGTCTCGGTCTGGTTGTAGGTTCAGTGCTTTGACTCACACCCTGAGCAGTGAGTAGAAGAATAATGGGGTAGTTGCATGGAATTTTTTAAATTCAATATCCAAAAGTTTAAGATCTACTGAGTATTGAGGTATTTTTTAAAAAAATTTCCAGTCTCTGGAACTTTGAGAAGAAGCCTCTCAAAGTCAAAAGCCATTTGAACCGGGTCTTTTCCCGCGCTTCGGAACAAGGGCTTCGTGACGTCACATGGTATACATGTAGGTTTGCCCTATGTCAAATATGTGCAAATACGGTCTTTTAAAAATTCGCGGAAATTTTTTTTTTTTTGTCTAGGCTTGATTTCTTGACGTTGTGGAAAATTTTAGAATGTGATTAATAATTTTTAAACAACTTTGAAAGCTCTCTATCATGATTTCTCAGTGAAAAAGGCAGTTGAAACAGAGCTTTTCGCGTATCTTCTGCCGCCGCCAGGAACCATACGGTCCGTCGGATTCGGGTGCACCCAAACTGCTTCGGCATTGTAAGTGCGTCGTTGCTGATTGGAGCTTAAGATGAGCTCACTTGGCGCTGGTGGCGCCGGTGACCAAAAATCTCTAAAACACTATAAAATAACCTCAGTGACTGACCTGTTCTGATCTCTTTTCTAATCTCAACTGGTGCTGTGTTTGAGCTTATTATTAAGATACTGTCCTGGACACCTTTTGGCATGATTTCCGACAGTATTTTCCGGGGAAAAAGATAATTTCGACACTTAAAATAGCACAACAGATCAAGCTTCGGCTCGGTAAACACATGGTCGAGATAGGAGTGATGGCAGAGGGCGGGGCCTTGTATACCAACTGACGTCACAGCCTATGAAAATCGTTTATTTCTTACCGTGTTTTTGCGACTTTTTATCAAGCTTTTTCGGAGCTTTCAACTCTATTTCAGAACTTGAAAATGCAAGAGACGGTTTTTTCGCAAAAAGATCTGCTACAAACAGTTATCAGATCTTAAATCCGAGCTGCATGCGACTACTCCATTGTCAGTATGGAATTGCAATTTTAGTCGATTGAATGATTAATACTGGAGAAGAAATGTTCACATGTTTCTGTCATTTGCCATGAAGTTAATGCGAAAAATTGTTCATTTTCAGGTCTATGCATGCTAATTGTTGTCAGGAAAAGTCAGAAAATTTTGATATTTCTGGTCAAGAAAAACCTCAAAAAGTCAGGGAATTCTTTTTTCTCCAATTTTGTAGACACCCTGTCGATTTTAAAGAGGCACAATGAAATCTCGATTAGACCTTGACAATTCCATATACCAATTCTAATTTATTTTGTTTTTTCCCACAGTCATGTAAATCGGCAGTTGTTGTGGAACCGACTAGCTGTACAGACTGTGATGACATGATAAGTGTTACAAACCGGAAGAAAAACAAGAATTCCAAACTAACCGGCGGAAAGACGAAGATACAGGAGCCAAAACAAAACCTGAAAAAACAACAACAGCAGCAGCAGCAACGACAGAACCAGCCAAAAATACCACTGCCGTCCAAAAACAACAAGAAAAACTCATCCATTGCCAATGGGAACTCCAACAGGGAGAAACCCACTGTCAAGTGCCAGTCCTGCGACCAAGAGCCGTGCGGAGACTCACATTCAGAACGCTCACATGACTGCGGTTATGGCTCTTCAGAAAATAACCACAATAGCACTTCTTCTTCCCCTGAAGGTTCAGAGGTTGCGTGCTCTGAAGGGTTTTGTAATCATGAAGGTAATTGAATTAATCATTCATTCAGCTAAAGGATTCAAAATTCCCGATAGTTTTTTTACCCAACAAAATTGAACTCTACAAATTGATGTGGACGGATCTATCCAAAATCGGCCAGGCTAAATTTTCTACAGGCTGATAATTGAAGCTGATAGACAAGAATGATAACAGGAAAATGGAATATGATCCTGTCGGTTGAAACGGGTGGTTGTCTTAGACAAAGATAAAAAACGATGGACTAAACATAGGATCTCTCATAGGTTGCCTTTTATTAGTCTATAACTCATCTCTTTTGTCCATTATATCCGCCCGCTTCCACTAACAATTCCAGCTCCATTCACTTTTTGTCCTCATTGTCAATTGTGTGACCCATCAATTTTAATAATCAGCCTACTGTTGCTGATTTTCTCTCATCTTTCATTATTATTTTTCTACCAAAATTAAGCAGCATAAAGCCGTGAAACTTTCCATGAGGTTCCTTCTTAGAATAAGAAAGCCACTCTCAAATTTCAGAAGAAAACATTGCGCGGTTTTTTTGTAAAAGAAAAAATGGAATGTGATAGGAAATGATGAAACGTTTGAAGGAGTGAAGTTGTTTCTGATCAGTGCTGTTTGTTTGATCTTTTTTAAGTATTGTGAAATCTTAATAAAACTAAAACGGTTAGTTACTTCATCAGACTTTCTCTCGATAACCTTAGTGTTTCCTTGATTGATCCACGAGGAAAAGCCACCTAGTCATGGAAAGATTTGTGAAATGGTTCTCTTGAGACATAGCAAAATGAATCTTGACATTTTGAATCTCTGAAGATCATTATTTGTACCGTCCTGACTCAGCTGTTCACTTCTTAGCGTGTTTAACTTTTCTTTCTTCCTCACACAGGTGTTGTTAACTCAGATGACCACAATTGCGATCCAGTATGCAAACTCCGGAGCCTATGCATTCATAATCATGATGGTGTCATGAGTCTGGAACAAATGCTTGAGGTATAATTTCCACTTTATCTCATCCCCTGGAGTTTCTTATATTCACTGTTATAACTTAGTAACTATATTGCATATCAGTTTCTTGAAGGATTAAAAAAAGAACAATGCTCTGATAACCTGATTATACAGAGAGAGAAAATGACTTTTAAGTTGTAATTTTTTGCATTAAGCTTTGTTTGGGAGATTTTTAGCTAAACTTGAGACTTGTCTAACATGCAGGGGCTCCATCCAAACCAACAACCCCAGGTTAGGTATGTTTTAGGGCAGTCCTCTTTTCTCATTTTCTTGAATACTTAATTCCAATCTGTTTTATTTGAATTTATAGGTATTAGTTAATTCTTAGAGGATTTTTGAATGCCTGCTTTTACACACCAAGAAGGCATAGCTAGTGAAAATAAATTTTATGAAGAGAGTCCCGTCTACTTGGAAATAAAAATAAAGCTGCATATTTGTAAGAAAAACGTAATCAAAATGCAGATCAGAGCAAGCGAAAGACGCGAATAAAATGGAGGTTAGGTGTAGTGACGTCAGTGCCACAAGGACTGTACCAATTTTGTATCAGGAAACTTCAGTTTCTGACAATTTCGTGCTAAAAATCTCATTTTTAAACACAAGTTGGCATCATGTGTTCAGTGTGCTGTTCTCTCATATGACCATGATTTCGGTTTTTTTTTTTTTTTTTTTTTTTTTTTTTTTTTGCGTCACGTATTTTGAATCTAAAGATGGTCAACCACAAACCTGTCGAAGTCTCATCTCATTATTACGTCTTCAAAAATTTGTGCATCGATGACATACAAAATGCGTAGGGTTGAGATGACGAAATTGGTGTGTCAGTAGGCACACTTTTTGGAAGATTGATCATTTTGCTGCTCAGTAAGAGGATTGATTTGAAAAAGTAGGACAATCTAACTGAGTAAAATTTTAGTAGAGTCCCTGAATGGCAGGAAATAGTGTTAGGAAACTCAAGCCCTTGAGAAACTTTTTTAGAACGACAGGGTGGTATCAGTTACATACTGAAAAAGACCTATCAAAAACATTTACAAGTAAAATTGTGCTACAAAAATATTGATATGAGAGATAGGTTATCCCAAGAAAAGTTGTGACAGCACCTTAAATAAATGCCTTAGTACCCTAAAGTGACCTGTAATTTATCTAGGAGCATTTGCTTAGCGAGTGCTCGGGGGAGGGATGGAGGTCTTAGAAGGCAAAGCCTACAGCTAGGCGCAGGATCAGCAAAGCAAGCCATAGCAGCTGGTTTTGAGTAATCATTGTTATTTTATATTTTGAAGCAACACAAATTATAATCCCAGCAGAAAGCATTAATTTTATCCATGAAAGATTAGTCTTAGGTTTTTAGAATGACTTTTTAAAAAATAAATTGAATAAAAATTGTGACGATTTTCACTAAGTTTGGTTTTGTTTTTCCAGGAATCGAGCTCATCAGGGGAAGAGTGTTTCATTCCATTAGAGGAAATCAAGGAATTTCAAGCAAATTCTGGCAACCTCAAACAGAAGCGTTTAGAACTGCGAGAAAGGCTCAAGGAAAGCTTTGTTCAGTTTTGCGATAAAATTCCTAATGTGAGTCAGTTTAGGTATAGAACTAATGCGAAGAACTGATTAGGTTTGCCTTATAAGTTGAACATTTTTATTGTTTAATATTTATTACAAATGGAAAAGATTTTTGTTCTTTTTTAGTTGAAATCAGTAATTTTTATATGCCTGAAAAATCTTAGTTATTCTTTTTTATTTGTTTTAAATTTTTATGCTTGTATTAAAATACCTTTAATAACTTATTTCTCTGGTTTTTCTTACATTTTTTTTTCACCGTTATTTGATATCTGCCCAAATCACAAATGTTAGAACTGACGCCAGAAGAGTTGCCAGTTTTTAGTTTTCCATTTGCAAACAACAGCAACGCAGTTATCCTACAGCCATAGAGAATTGACCGCAGGCAATGATGCGGCCCTGTAAAGAAACGTATATCAGTCTTATGTGCATGATAGTCTTTTAACTGTTACTTTACTTACTTAACTCTTTTACTTACTTACTTTACTTTTAAATAACTGCCAACTCATATGATGCGAGGTCTATATTCATTCAAAGTGAATTTTTGGCATAACAATCGTTGCAACTGTCTGAAACATTCCTATCTTGTGTGTGAGTCATCAAGGGTCAGTGAAGATAGCTTACATATTTTTCACTTGGAAAATTTTTTAAACTATGTGGCAATAAGATAATAAGACAATGGTATATCCTGCAATCAGTATGCTCTGAGTAAGCTCCATTTATTGAACTAAAAATCCATGATGTCACGTTTTGTCAATTCTATCAAAACCTAAGTATCAAAGTTGAAGAGCATTCACCCAAATAGATAATTAGTCTTGAGAAGAAAAATTTGCCGGTGAAATCTTTAAATCATTGCAGTACTATCAAACTGTGCATTTCCCTGGCGCTGCAGTGCCATTTCAATGAAAAAGAAAACAACCCTTACTTATCATTTTAGTCAAGCCCCTCAATTAAAAAACTTTAATGGTTATAATCATTCAGAATAAATCTGAGAAATTAAACAGTACTCATTTAAGTTGTGTCCAGTTAATTTTGTCAGTAGAGGTTACAAGAGCAATCATTTTTAACTCCCCACTTAACTACATATTACTTTACTAATTCTAACTTTGCAATTACTTATTGAATTCTTTTTGTGTATTAGACACTGCTGAGGATGTCCCCTAACAAAAATTCAGAGATGAAAATGGATTCATTTTTCTGACAGGATATTGTAAATACAGTTAGAGAGCGAAACAGAAGATATTTCCAAAGGCCTGCCTGAATTTCTGAATCTACTTTTGCACCCCCCACAGACTCATGGAGTATGTCCCTGTGGCCTTAATTTAAATTTTTGAAATTTTGATGCAGACTAAAGTTTTCACTGCCATGAAAATGGATCCATTTTTCCTCCAGAAAATTGCAAATAATATCACAAAAATAATGAAAAAATAAATAAAAACTTGGGTATAACATTTATTAAATAACAGTAACATTTTACAAAAAGTAACACTTCAAAAACGCACAAAAATCAACAAAAACATAACTGTACGAAATAACGTCTCTCAGTTAAAAATAAATAACTCAAGTTTTCAGACACATTTANAGTATGTCCCTGTGGCCTTAATTTAAATTTTTGAAATTTTGATGCAGACTAAAGTTTTCACTGCCATGAAAATGGATCCATTTTTCCTCCAAAAAATTGCAAATAATATCACGAAAATAATGAAAAAATAAATAAAAACTTGGGTATAACATTTATTAAATAACAGTAACATTTTACAAAAAGTAACACTTCAAAAACGCACAAAAATCAACAAAAACATAACTGTACGAAATAACGTCTCTCAGTTAAAAATAAATAACTCAAGTTTTCAGACACATTTATCTAAAATCAGGATTAAAATTTTCTTCCATTTGAAACGAAATAAAAGTTAAAATGTATTAATCCTAGTCCAGAATTTGGTTAATTCTGATAACTTCCAGACTTTATCTGTGAGATTCCCAACTTCAAGGCAAACAAAATACATATGCGGGGAAAAATGTTTGATCAACAGAGCAAAAATTGATTTTCAGGTCCCTGAGAATATTAAACTAAAACCTGGACACTCGATCCAATTATGTGCGTCAGAAGGACACCTCTGATTAAAGCAAGTTGTTTTAGGCAATAAGTTATTTTAAAGAAGCAAGTTATTAAGACTGAAATTTTAAAAAACAGAAAAGAAAACCATTGCTAAAATCCACATGAACTTCCGAACATTCATTTTGAACTCCGAAAACTAAGAAAAATGTTTAACAATTAAAAAAGTATACTTTTATTTGTTCTTTGTTATAAGGTTATCACTTCTCTGACGAATCATCTCTCACAACTAATGAAGTTGTTACTGAAGTAATACATGCATGCAATTCTTTGAATTTTTTAACCAGCTTGGAAAATTAACCAGAAAAATCAATAATATCCTAAACTGACTCCTGACGTTGTGAATAATCAAAAACGCTCCCTCTTTCGATAAAGGTTGGTGGTTCACCTGAGCCTTGAAAATCTGTAGAATCATTTCCGGCTGTATCCTTTGGCAGTCCGTAACCGCCTCCACCCGGCGTCTTGAGCAGCAAAGTGTCCTGAAAAGAAAAAAATTTGACCATTCATTCGTAACTTCATAACACTTGAAAATACAATGAGAGTATAATTGAATTAGTTGTTTTCAAAAGGGAACAAGTCCATTTTTGCATGAGCCTTGGCTTGCATAAGAGGAAATGCTGACTAAGACTCATGGAAGAGTGGGAGGATGGCCAGTACATCAACGGATGTGAAGAGTGTAAATACCTTGGAGTATGGCTGACCCAAGATGGGAAGTTTGATGGGGCCATCAGAGAACGTAATTTGCAAGGAAGAAAAGCCATCACGATGTTAAACGGGGTTCTCTGGGATCAGAGAATCTCGAAGGAAAATAAACGAAGAATTTACAGCGCCATCGTGAAGAGCATAATTACGTACGGGAGTGAGGTCTGGCAATTGAAGAAAAGATCCGAGGATATCTTACGGGCAACCGAAATGGACTTTTGGCGAAGGTCTGCAGGGATCTAGCAGAGAGAGCGCGTTTGTAATGAACGAGTGCGTGGAATAATGGGAGTTGAGGAAGATATTGTGCACGATATCAAAATCAGGCAGCTGGTTTGGTATGGACATGTGCGGAGAATGGCAGATAGTAGGTTGCCCAGAAAGGTATTTGATTGGGTTCCTCCCGGAAGAAGGCAGCATGGACGTCCAGTAAAAGGTTGGCGGAAGGGAGTGGAGGGGGAGATCAGACGGTGTAATCTGCCCGATGATTTGTGGGAGGATCGATTCCGATGGCGATTTGGAGTCGCAGAGCGCTCTAGTGCGCTGAGGTAGCGGCTTGATATGTATGTATCTCTTAATCGATAAATTAGAATGCAACTCACCCCTGGCTGACACAAGATGGCTGTTTTTGAGCTCAAGCTGATAATCCGCCCATCTGCTTTGACCATCAGATTTTTCCCTTTTTTCCCTGGTAAGCCTCCTGAAACAAAAATAAAAAATTAAGAGAAGAATACCTTGAGCACTTGATTAAAAAGGCATTCTCCCTTGCCAGAAACTGGAGGCAAAAAGATATGTTTACAATGGGGTAAGTGCCAAGAGCAGAGAATTTTTCACGGAATACATCTGAATTACCATGCAAAAAACCCAGTTTGCAACTTGGATACCATTACGCACATGTTGTCAACTGGTGAAGAGGACATGGATATATCAAGCTTGTCTTATTGTGAAATTAGCTTAGCCACAAATGCTAAGTGGATTAACAAAGGAGAGACCTGATTCTCGGCTAAAAGCGGAAAAAATTGGAGACAGGACTTGGCAATCATGACAGTGCGTCCCTTGCCAAAATCTGATGGCTGTGTTTGTGTGTCTGATGAATGATTAGTTTTAATGAATCCGCAGACCAGCATTTTCTTGACCAAGGGAGCTAGGAATCGTTTAAAGTTCATCTTCAAAGATGCTCTTAAGAACTAATTAAGCCGAGTTCTCTCATTTCAATCCATTATAAATTGTTGCTTCTGTGTAAGGCACATCTCTAAGGCTCTAGGGCATCTCTGTAAGGCTTCATCTCTATCTTGAAGAGTATGGTCTTTGGGCACTTTTACACTCTCGGAATAAAGACAAATTTTCACTGAAATTGATGATAAAAGTGTGGTCAATCAGTCAAACTTGGCAGGAACATGCACAGACGACCTCAGTATTTGTCTCAAGTAAACCACTTTAAATGAAGCTACAATTTTGTGCATCAAAACTGATTTTATCAAGCTTGTTGAACTGGTTTGGCCGAAGTTTGGCAGAAATTCACTTGAGTGAACGAGGCCTGGAAAAAAAATAAAGAAACAAGATTCCATAGATGTTACCTTTGAGACCGTATGGCTGGAAAACTCTTCTCTCTGTTAGAAGTGATAAATCAATGTCTGCACGAAATAGTAATTCTCGAATGACCCCATCTCCGCCTTTGAAGCTAGAAAAAAAAAATTAATAAATTTAACTAAAAGAAACATTTCAATCAGCAATAATTAAGATTTGAGGGATGAACTTCATATCTATATTTGAGGAAAACCTATGGAAGTTTTTAGATTTTGAAACCTCGATGTCTGCCCCCTTCCTCTTAACAAAATACATGTACTGAGCAAGTAAGCACATCGCGTGGAAATAATATGATTATACATAGGCACAGCAGCTGAGGCTGACGAAACATGCTAACAGGAACAAAATTCTAACGTTCAATCACTTATGCCTCAATACATTTTCCGAGAAAAGCCTCTTCTGCACCTAACCTAACGCCTCAATTATACTCCAATTGCTACCTAATATTGATAGATTGAGTGTTTAGATAATTGATTATTTTAGTTGATTAGTATGATTTTTGTGTATTGATAACTGAAAATTTAGAAATCAGTATATTGGTTTCATAAAAATTAACACTACCACCGATGACAGTCATTGCAGTTTAAGATCTCTCTCATTCACACTTGACACTTTCAGTCAGCAGAAGAATGCTCCTTAAAAAAACTTGAATTGACAATACTGAGAGCAAGTGCCTTTTCAAAACATTGAAAAAAGCTAAAATTTAGGATTGAAACAGAGAATTATTTCAGTAACTCAACCAATATAGAAATATTGTTAAGTTTGTAAAGTTTGAAGTATGTACTTACTTGCCGTCCCCGCCTGAATTTTTTCTGAGGCTAAATTGTTTCAGAATAACAGGGTAACGCTTTTCTAAAACTTCAGGATCAGTTATTCTGGTGTTTGTCATGTGAGTATGGACACCACTCCTTCCATTCCAAGACGGACCCTGAGACATAAAAAAGTCCATCTCAAAAAACGCGGAAACAAAAACAAACCAACAAAAACAAAAAAAAGTTACTTAAAAGACGTTAAAGTAGTCGAAATTCTCTCTGTTTCTGAGTCATATCTTCAAGCGAGTGTAGGACATCTTGTTTGTTTGTAATGTTCGTAAAATCTAAGAAAGATAACCGCCATGACTCTGGTTTGCTTTAATATTTTTGATTATTAATTAAAAACTCATAAAACATTCTCCGATGCTTTGGTGTGAATACTTCAATCCCAGTCTTTGTTGCCTTGGGTCCTTCATGGACAGTCACATTTGAGGAAAAGGTATGAAACATACCGCTCCTGCACCTCCTGCAATGGTCTCGTAGTAGCCCCAGGACGACTGGCCGAAAGTGACATTATTCATGCATCCCTGTGAAGCTGCAACAGTGCCAAATGCTTTGAACACGACATCAGTGATTCTTTGAGAAGTGAGCACATTCCCACCTACAACTGCCGCGTCATCTGAGGGATCCAGAAGACTTCCAGGGGGAATTATCACTGTTATCGGTTTTAAACATCCCTGGAAAATTTCCAAATATTTTAAGGAGACTCAAATATAATACACTATATAAAATAGCTACTTGTTACTTGGTCTACTACTGATTTAAAAATTTTAAAAAAAAGAATATTCCACAAAATTTCTACATGATGAGAAAAACGGATTATGATCTTCCACTTTAGCTCTTGAAAATATATTATAATAATACTTGTATGAAGTATATTTACAAATTGGAATAACATCCCACAGATAAGACATAATGAAGAGGCGTGTCGTATCTGCTACAATTGATCATTTTGAGCCTATTTCGCAAAAATTCGTGGGTCCATCCAGAGAGTTGCAACCACTTTCAATCCACAATCCCATTCTATTTCTTATCATTGAACTCTTCGGCAACCTAACCATTCCTTTTCATTTAGTCTACTTTAATTAAAGGTGCTTGGGTAGAAGTCTACACATGAAATCTCATAAAATTTTAAACCTTTTTCCATGAAAACAACAAAATTTATCAAAGAGATAAAAATCAATAGTTCTTGATCATTTTGCAGGGCAGTTGTCAAATGAATGGCTGAGAAGGAGTATATGCTGAGGAATAAAAATTTTAAGTTACAAACTGAAATTATTACTTTTTTGTATATCTTACTATAATCAACTCTGTATGAGCTCTAACCGAGACATTCATAGGAAATATAGATACATTAATAAAACATGATACTTTGATCTTTACCTGATTCAGAGGCACATCATGACCAACCATGCATCGAAGACAGTAAATTAGCGCAGATAAAGTGATAGCTTTTGGGGCATTGCAATTACCCCAGACTTCGTAACCAGTTCCACTGAAACAGATGAAAACAAATGCTTGATTTTGAACTGTGAGGAGAGAAAAAGAGCAAAAGGTCAAAACCATTTCTACTGTTAAGTACCAAAAAGGTATGCAGGCAAGTGTTCATTTTTTGGATCCCATGGGACTATAAGAGATAAAGTATGAGAGTTCTCTTTATCTCTTTTTCTTGATGTCTAGGACGGTAAATCAATGTTGCCACTCTCAATTTTCCCTCAATTCAAGATGGTTGTCGAAATGGCCGTCATGGGATTCACATGTAAGGAGACAATTTTTGGGTCAGCTAAGGAGTCAATTACGAAGTATTTTTGGTTGTAGAACTCAAATATGCGGTCAGAAATTCACTTTGACCTTAGATGACCAGAGGAAGGAGGGGAACTTTCCACCTTTACTTCACTTTTTCCCAAGACCAATCCACACAGGTCAGTCATTGCGCATCTTCTTGGAGCCCACATCTGTCTGCCCATCGCTCGATCGCAGCCAGCGTGACCTCATATTACTGCCATACGATATGCCCTACACTTTTTCTTACCACAATTCACTGTAGGATCTCAAAACTCGTCCACGGAAATGACTGACCTGTATGAATTGGTCTTGCTTCCTTTATTCATGGGTGGCTTAGATTTTTTACCACATTTGTTTGGAAAAGTGACCAATTGAAAGGAAAAAGAAGTTGGTGAAAAATTCCTTGAAAAATTGAAAACACCTCTAATCCTAATTAACTGTATGCTTCAGTAAATTTTCTAATTTGTAAAAACTACGAATAGATACCTGAAATCACAAACAGCACTCCCATCATCAATATCAATATCAATGCGTAATCGGATAGGTGATCCATCATCGAGGTAATCCACTGCTTGAAGGGTGGATTTCCCTGTGTTCTGTAAAGTAGTTTTTCCAATTTCACGCAACATATTTCGCACTGCAATTTTTGAGTTGTTCTGAATATGAGCCATGTACGCTTGTACAACTCGTAGACTATAAATATCAATGAGTTCTTGGACCAGTAAAATTCCCTGTAGCAAAGAGAAAAAAATCAACTTTTTACAAAAATGAATAGAAAGAAACCTTTTGATCAGGTAAAATGTCACTTAATGGGATGGATCTATGAACAAAGCACCTATTCACTAAAGCGTTGCAAAAGACTATTGGTTTTTCTTCCAAATTCTTTCATGAACAAAACTATTCTGCTTCATCTGGAGGTCACCAAACAGGAGAGATATTTCTAGGCACAAAACGAATTTCGAAGAATATTATTGAGACCGCATCTGCAAAATCATTTTAATGGACTACATGTTGCTTTGGAAAACTTCCATTGTGGATGGAGTCCATGCCAAGTAAGTCGACGCTCTAATAGAGGGTGACAAAGAATTTGCCATCTTAATTTTTGCATTTGCTTCCAGTGCTAAACTGAAGACAGCTCATCTTCTATCGCACTGTATAAGTGCGTGATCATGTTTGGCGGAGAATAGAGATTCTTTTTGGTTGGTGATAGTGTTGAAGTTCGTAAACTCAATTAAACTGATGAATCAATGAATAAATAAAAGAATGAATGAGTGAATACAAGGAATAAATTAAATAAAGTAACAGTTGACTCCAGAATCAGACATCAGAGTTCTTGGCTGATCATATTAAAACATGAATGCCTTGCTACGAATGTTGCACTTGTGCGCTTAGGAAAAAGACAGAAGCTTCATAGAGAATAGAAGGTAGACTATTCATATTTAAATTAACTGCTACTGAGCGCATTACAAGTGCTTCAACTTTGCCTATAAATCAGACCTACAGCGGAAGCAGATAGGCGTAGAAAACGTAGAATACTTCAGCAATCCATAGGTAGAATTTAAGAAACTATGAGTATGACTAGTAAAAACATTTTATAGTTCCACTCTATACCTACAATATTTGTAGGAATAAAAAATTGCAAAACTTACTTATTGGGATACCCTTGTACTAGAGAGATGTTTGATACTTATACCTATGGGTAATAAGTAGAATTTATATAATAGAGAAAATTTACGGTAGGTATACAATAAATTGGCTTTTTTCTAGAAGGTACAGTTATCATGAGCAATGTTAATAAAAAAAACAGAAGTATTTCAAAACACCAAAGTTCTAGCTTGGTTTAAAAATACCTACTCTCTGGTTAGCTGCAATCTGAGCTTTCAGATCAGACAGATTATCACTTAAGTTCCGCGTTCCTGAGGAATTAGGAATCTTGGACGGGGCCATGAGAGCTTCGATTAATTCAGTCTCTTGAAAAACCCCTCTTTTAACAAGGAAGAAATTTTTGAAGGTTGCACCTTCTTCAGATAAAGTTTTGGAATGGGGCGGCATTGACCCTGGTGTGATACCACCGATATCTGCATGATGACCACGACTTGCGACGAAAAACACAGGACGAGGTCCATTCCTAAAATTAAAAAAAAAAAAATAGATACATTAATTGATTTAAAAATTTTGTACTTTTTAATGGAGTAGACTGCCTCAAAATTAGGGAAACAAAGGGCCACCTAAAGCTCTTCTACACTGTCTCGGTTTCACTAAGACACGGTCTTAAGACAATGCAGAAAAATAAACTTACCGATAAAAAACTGGAGTAATGACAGTTAAATCCGGCAAGTGAGATCCACCAGCTTTTGGATGGTTTGATAACAGCACATCTCCTTGTTGAATCTCATCTCCAAGAGTTTTGATCTAGGGAACAGAGAAAAACTGTTAAGAGGGTGCGAATTTCGAAAATGACCACGTCAGGTAAAGCAAACCAAGTCAACCAAGGCAAGTCATGGATTTTACATTTCTCTAACCCTCTCATTACCAGGATGGGTTCTGTGTACGTATAAAGCAGAGCATACTCGGTCAAAAAAAGGCTGAAGTTGTGGTTCAGGTTCTCTTTGACAGATAGAGTTACAAAAAAGGATGCTTCTGATTGTGAGTGAACGTTGTTCATTAATGGCGAAAATGTTGCCAGAGGAACACAATGTCGCTGAACGCAGGTAAAAAAAGAGTTAATGGTAGGATTCAGAAATGTTCAAGGACTTACATCTCATGGAAACAGTTAAAATTATTAGTCATTGCTGAATGACTTTCGTAGATCGTCAGCTTAAAGACTAGATCTCACTTTCATTCAATTTTGTTCTGATATGAATCATTCTTGCATTGCAAATGATTTTAAGTCAGGTTGATCAACAGAAAATTTTTGAGATTCTGTCAAAATTTCAACAGCTTACTCAACAGCAACTTGGTTTTTTTCATTTCCAGTCTTTCAGGTTACAAACTCAAAAACTATTTCAGTTTGATACAGGCTTGATGCTAAGCCAATAAATGATATTAAAACACTCCAAGACAAAAAATGTTAGGTAACAATTTAGAATGACTTCTACCAGGATCGCACCTGGAGGTCATGAAAAAGATAAAGAATAAACTTTTAAAGATTAGCTTTTCAACATTAGATTAGATTGAAAGGCAATCAAAATCAATTCCAGGCCTATTCACTATAGATGCTTTATAATAACATGGACATACTTAAATCGAAAGGTACCACCCCTATTGTGGCATGGACTCTGTTATGAATTTGTTTTCATGGGTCTTAGGGTCTAAGTCTCATTGAGAATAGTTCCTTTTGTTTTAAGTACAACCATATTGTTTTCCCTTCGATTTGAAAAAAATATTAAAGGGTAACTTTTCATTTTTAAGGAGACGCCATTCCAATTATTGAAGCTACGTCGATATGAGACAAGATGTATCTAACCCTATCTTGACTGTGCGTCGCATTTTGATACCTCATTTTGCTGCTTTAAACTTTCAATAATCTTGTCTAATTTGACTGAATTGGCGTAAAAGAGAGACAAAAAAAATAAAACAAAAGAACAAACCTGATACTGAACCGTTTCTTGCATGGCACCTAGATGTACAGGGATATGGGGTGCATTAGAGACAAGACCACCGTCAGGTCCAAATAGTGCACACGAAAAATCCAGTCTTTCCTTGATATTTGTCGAAATTGAAGTTCTCTGAAGTATTCTGAAAATCAATTTAGGATTTACTCTTTGTTTTTGAACAAACAACTTTTTTTTTTCAGAATTTGCCTCCACAAACTGCCAGATAAAACGTTAAATTTTAGAAATTTATCATGCTCAGGAGGTCGTGAAGAATATCGTATCAAAAATTAACAACATTTAACTGGCACAAGAAGTAAAGTAGGAATGATTGTGACATGATTTTAACTGTTGAAAAGCATTTCACAGGTTATCAACTTGCATGTTTTAAAATGTCTAAAGATAGGCAACGGCTCGAAATGGATTTATGATAGATAAATAACCATCATCTAATAACATGCAAGTTATGTTGTACCTACAATCGAATCCTACCTCTCGTAAATTTAGTTTTGATTTTAATCAAGGTTCAGGTTAAATTAGAGACAATTACCTTCCCATTTGTTCTGCAATGCTCATAAAACGATGAGAGAATATACTCAATTGAATAGTGTCCAGTTGAATGCCGATATCTTGCTTGACTGAGGATGACACCAAAATTTCTAAAAATTGACAAAACACAAAGTTCATTATTTTATCAAAGTTCATAGTATTAAAAAAAGTATGCATCTTAATAACACCTATTGAGACTGTGCTCAAAAGATTGAACGCACGCCGAATGGCACTTTTTTCCGTTTTTCTGGAAACATGGAATTTTGTGTTTGGGTCCTATAGAAAAATATCGGTTTGATTGTGTGCATCAAATTTTGCACAGGGATGTAACTATTGAAAAACATTTTGGATATTCCTAAAATGGTAGTTCAGTGACTTTTTTCTGGGTTACAATTCAGTAAAATGAATGATAATACCTCTTGTTAGAGGAGAAAATATTGAACAAAGCTCTAATTTTTTAAGGATTGTATCTTCACCTATTGTCTAGAGAGCCTGACAGACACTTAATGGTGCTGTAAATAATCAAATGAATAAAAAATCTTCGTACCTATGTCTCCTGCTTCAGTGATTGTGGCAGAACATTCTGGCTCGACGAGAATTGTGCTGAGCTTGTCCATAATAATTGCAGGTCCATCAACCACAGAGCCAGGGGGTAACTTCTCTAATAAATAAACTTTGCTTTTTGCAAAACCAAGAGTATCAAAACAAACATCCACTTCCTGGGAAAGAGTAGAAGCAAGAATTAAATGCAAATAATAGGTTGGTTGTAATATTTATAGAGGAGATAAAACAACCTACTGGAAGTCTCAAAGCTTATGGGAGAAAATTAATTATTTCCTGTACTTAGCTTTCGCACTTTTTGTAATTTTATTCAGCTTACAAAGGATGAATAAAGACTTAGCAAATAATGCCCCATGGATCACCCGACAAGGTACAAATTTAAGCGTTCTGATATATGTTTCCCTTTCAAAATTTGATGTAGAACTCGATTCAGTTGTTTTCATTCATTAATTTTGCAATTTTTAAAGGCTGCAGCTGTTAACAGATAATTCTTTCCATCATCTGTTTACTAGATGAAGTAAAAATTAATCAATTAATCTCAATTATTGAATTTTTAGTTTTAACTACAATATTCAGGTTTCTATGGTTTGTGACTGCATCACATAATGGCAAAACAACTGGAATTGGTTTTGGTGATTTTGGGTTTTCAATACTTTAGCAATCTTAAAAAGTCATTCTGTATGTGCACAAAACAGCGCAATTTACAACCGTTGTGCCTGATGGCAATAATTACTACTCTACAGTTGACATTTAAAACAGCTGAGAGTTGAACCGCAAATTGAAATTAAAGCATGGAAAAATCTATGAAAAAAATGAATGTTACGAACTTTTTCGATCGGAAGACTATCTCCGACGGATGAAGCAGAGTGACTTTTGCTGGATGATAGGCTAGCTTTCCCAGTTCCTCTGATTCGGATATTGTCCACTAGAATTTCACGATCAGGAAGAGTAAATCCAAATTCATTCTTGTACCTATGTTTGAGAAAAAAGAAAGAAAAAAAAAGGATCAATAAACAAATCAAAGCAAGTAAAGGAACAAAAAAAAACCACAAAGAATATCACTCCTTTAGAGGAAAACTAGCTGTTTGCGATTATTCATACCTGTTTTTTTTTATATGAAATGCAGAAAATGCTGAATTGCGGAACGAGTTTATACTCGTTATGTTCTTCTTATGAAGACAGAGAAATTTAGAAAGGCCTTCCTCTCAAAATTTTGAATAATTTCTCTAAATTTTCGGCAACTTTTCATACAATCTTTCAAAGTTCTAGTTTTTGAGGGACATACTTGTCTTAAACTGATAAAGTTCTGAACTATCGGTGAAAAATATTTGAGTTCAGAAATTTCCATCTGCATCATTTTACTATGCTTGAAGGTAAAAAACTAACTCATGGCGATTCTCACCTTTCTAAAAAGGAGCTTTCATAATCTCCAGTTGTTGTTGCATGTACGAAACCACCTCTCGTTTGTTTCGGAGAGCACATGAGAGCACAGTCGGTGCCTGGATATCGCATGTGAAGGAATGGCTCAATTTGAATGTTTTCTTCCTGGAAACCTTGTAGTTTCAACTGCTTTGTACAAATTGCTGATATAACTTCGATCCGTTCATTTAGATAATTGAAATTCTCTGAAAAACAAACAAAAATTTATGCTAGATGTAGGCACATGTCATTTTTTTAGTTGATTTTGCGACCTTGGGAAATAGTTACAATTTTTCGTCTGGTGGCTTGACTTCTGCTCACTTTTTGGTCTTTCGTTAATGGAAAAGCTAAGTAACATCATGATTTTAAAATTAGTGAATATTCCCTCTTCACCATCTTTATGGGAGATCCACAGAAAGTTTTGAGGCAAAATTTGGCCTAGGTATTTATCCATGAAAAAATCAAATATGAGAAGAAAGTATGCAGGTGAGCTATTTATGGTTTAGGTAAGTCGTACCATTGAAATACATCTTTGAGATACATTTTTGAATGATTAATTTTTTCGATATAACAATAATTCTGAAATGCGACCTTTATGAGAAAAAGAGACTTCAGTACTTTAAGACAAAGGACTGCAAACAGAATACCAGAAATTCAGTGCAGGACAAGAGAAATCACCAAAGTTTCCAAGAAATGATATTGAGCAGTTTTTGATTGGGAAAATGATGTATGACTAGAAGTCTGCAACATCAGGAACCAAGATATGTGTTTTTGCAGTTTCACTATAGTTATGTAAATTCTTCAGCGATTCCTAGGCAAAGGGTATCAGATAAAAATGAGTTTGTGCAAGAAGTAATCTAAACTCTTCTTAAAACTGACCATGCTTATATGTAGTTGCACAGGGTTCTTGAAGTTCTTTCACAACGTCCGCACATGCCATTCCATAAGCAGACAAAATACCAGCATACTTATGGATGAAAACTTTGCCAATTCCTAAGGATCGGCTAATTGCGCATGCATGCTGGGCACCTGCACCACCAAAGCAAGCCAGCACATGATCTCTCGTATCATAGCCTTTTGCCTGAAACACAAAGTCAAATCTCAAAGAATTCTAAATCCATAGCATTACTTCAAAACTGCCATTGTTCGTATTTGCTTTGGGTTGATGAAAATTCAAGTATGAGTCAATCATCATGCTGTGATCGAACTTTTAGAGAAATGTACCTATCAACATTTTTAAAAAAGCAAATTTATATTAGTCCGTAACCTGTAAGAGGAATACCACGCAAAATTATCAGATGGTAGATTGAAAAATAAATGGTTTTGTATCAGGCATTTTAATGCTTAATTTCTTTGCAACTTTAAAACCTTGAAATTCGAAAAAATTCATTAAATATGCAGCCTGATGGCTGAAATTCATTCTGAATTTGATCTGTCCAGACTTCATGGCCTTCTGGCCAAAGTATTACAAGCGCCATTTGAGCTTAAACGCTATGTTGCCAGACAATTCAAGATTGGTATGATTATTTCTTTGAAGCACACACTTTCATGAAAATTTCAAGGTTTTATTTTGATGACAAAAGAAAATATGAGGTATAATTTTCAAATATTTCGGTTCATTAATTTTCTGTTGAAAATTCGACAAGTTTAAGAGGTTTGGTAACATAGGTAATACCTAAGCACAGGTGGTGCTTGCCACACTTCTGCCAGAGGGTGATGAGATGATATGAAAAAAATTCTTACTTGGGTTAAAGCTCGAATTGGACGACACATTGTTTCATTAGCTACCCGGATGAATCCCAAAGCTACCTCCTCCACTGTCATTTCAATGTTGTCAGATGGATTTTGATAGGCCAAAAATTCATTTATCTAAGCAACAAAATATACAAAGATTAAAGGAAAAAAATAACAAAGAAAGAGCATGAACTCATTCCTGGTGATACAGAGAGGCCTAAATAAATCAGAAAAATTATATGAGAAATGAAAGGAAAAAACTCATGACTTCAGATTTTGTAGCAACATTGTTCAAATTTCTTTTGCCTATAAAATCAAGAACAAAAATGGTTTTGTTCTTCATATCATCTGCAGTAATTGAGACCAATGGTTGCACATATAATTAAAGACCACAACCTATCCATAATCATAAAACCGCAGAGGAAATTTTAACAAAACGGACTTTTCCTCTGATTATGTTTGTGCAAGAACTATGCAAAGTGAGCAATCGGTATCACTTTCCGTACCATTCAGTAGTGAAGCATGAATCATCGACTATCAATATTTTCCTCTTTGAACACATGGTGAAGAATTTATTATTTACACATTTTCAGCAAGCACCTTGATAATAATCGATCTTTTTCAATGGGTTTCAATGACAGATCAATTGATTCATTAAAATGATGACCACACCGCTGAAATCAACATTTGTGTAAATATTTTCTAGGATAGGTTGTTTCACTAAATGAGCTTTTTAAGAAGTTATTTTACTTAATTGTTTCAGAGGAGCCATTTTGGCAAAGATCTCTCCACTTTTTATGCTCTTGACACAGTAAAGCCAGTTGAATTGCTTCTTCCCAGTTATATTCATTCATCTGATGTCAATATCAACATCCTCACATGAAAAATACTTGACGAATTCACCAAGAAACTTGTCAAGAAAATAAGTACTGCTCTTCAGTCATAGATGATCTAAATTGCAGATGATCAACAGTCTGCACGGCTTTGCTAATACAGATAATAATTCGTTTTTTTCACGCACCTCCTTAGTGAGCTGCTCAAACTTCATGAGAGCTACTTCTTTATCCAGGGATTCATTCTCTTGTGGTCCAAATATTTTTGGAAAATATTCTGGCAGCAAACGATTGAGGATTAGATTAGCGTCTGTTACAGTCAGTGGACCGCCTTTGCGGTAACAAGCTGGCCCTGGGTGAGCTCCTCCACTCTCGGGGCCGACAACAAACATACCTGAGCGGAAAAACAACATGGATCCACCTCCAGCTGCAACCGTGTTAACATCTAGCTGAAATAATATTCATGTGTGAAAATTTTTTAAACATTTTTACACACCAGGCAAAAAATGCAGACATTTGATTAGTAATTTGAGGCTTTAAAACAATATAGAAGATGCTAAGAGTAATGCTCATAATCCTATGGGTAAAAAACCCTTTGATGACTACTCGAAAAATGAATTCGTAGTTTTGACGTTAGCTCAGTCAGTAGCTTCCTACAAAATTGGAATTGAGGCACTGCATGCGAAAAGGGCACTTCCCGGTTGCAATGTTTCAGAGTTTCTTCTAATATTTCATTCTTTGTAAGGAAAGTGAATGCATCTATTTCACTAAAAATTTTACTGAATATTTTTTATGATTCTACGATTTTCTATGGAAAGAATTCTGGAAAAATCACCCATTAAATTCCTCTTCAAGGGATTAATTAGAAACAGAGATTCTGAAACACCGCAACCGAGAAGTGCTCTTTTTGCATCCAATGCCTCAATTAATGCTGTAGAACTGAACATTGAAGTACCCTGCAAAACCAGTAGTCTCTTGGTGTATTTCCAAGGAACTTTATTGGATTATTATGCAAAAGACAATGGATGGTTGGTTGCTCAAACAAGTGTTAGATTCTGTCCCTCCCGAAGGATAGTGGTGAGAAGTTGTCAGCAAAGAGTAAAGAAAAAGATCAGGGGGTGTCATTTGCCAGATAATCTATGGGAGGATAAGTTGTGTTGGCAATTCGGAGTCACAGAGCACCATAGAGTGCTGATTTAGTGCCTTAAATATATAAATATTATTTTAAATAAATTTTTTTGAGGACCATCAATGCCTCAATTTTTACCGAAAAAGTCAGCTACCTCCTTTCATTTAGCGGTAGCTTCAATTATAAAACTTTTTAATTTGAGCAGCTCAAGTCACTATTCTGGTTGTTATTTTTAAAAAATGGCCCCTGCAAACTTCCATAAATACTTTGACTATATTTTGCTGAAAGGAATTCCTAGCATTGCAATGCTTTCAGAATTTAACAGCTTCTTCGATCTTGATGGAAAACCTGCAAGTTTAAACAGTTTCTATTTGTTAACAAAAAAGTAAGTAATTAATTGATCTGCTTTCAATAAATTCATCATGGAAAAAAGAAGTTTCACAATCATAAAATTGCAATTTCATTCTTCCGGCCCCTTCTCCCCAGATGCAGTCCGATTATTCTTCTCAATAGGTAATGCAAATTGGTATTATCTATACCTTTAGAATAGCTTTGCACCGCACAATTTTGTAAAGTTGCTTAAAAGGAGAGGCCTTTTTTTTAAAACCAAACTTGAAATCATGAGTGTCAATGATAGAAACCTTTTATAATTACCTGTGGCGCTTGGATCGTGATTCCTGCTGTGGTGGTTTCAAAGACATGATCATACGACCCAGCAAAACGACTGACATCCGTCGAAGTTCCGCCCATGTCAAAGCCTATTATAGGTTGGGTAGTACTGGTTGTTACTGCATAACCAACAACTCCACCTGCTGGGCCAGATAAAATCGCTCGACTCCCACAAAATCTGGTAAAAAGAGATTATAAAACTAACTTAACTTTGAATTGTCACACAACATCTCAGAAAAACACAACAACATCTCAGAACAACATCTCTCTTTACATTATCTCAGAAAAATAAAAATGTTCAGGGGAAACAAAAGAACTGCTTAGTAGGTGAGGAAGTTGGGATACAAAAAAGCTTTTTGGTGCCACTTCAAAGGTTCAAGTTACAATAGATGCGACATCTTCATAATGACCGCAAGTTGCAACCTTTAAAGTTGCCGAGTTAGTGTGTTTTAGTTCTCACTGACTTCCAGATACCAAATTTTTGGGTTTTGCATGTAAAAGCTTCTACTAAATCGTAAAAAAAGCCAACTGAAAAAACTCCAAGTTAGTGCGTTTATGTTGCCACTGAATCCATTTCAGTCATGTGCATGAAAGCTCTTATAACTTATGTATTTCTCAACACAATTATATTAAATAGTGATGATCATTCTTTTTTATCAACAACATACATTTTGAACATCTGTAATGATTTTTAGAGGCTTTTTCTTTACCTGTCTTTATATTAAACTCTCATTGTGTTTCAAATTTGTGATACAAATTTACTAAGTGGCTCAAACAAATTTTACTTGTATTTCCGATAAACATTGGGGAATGGAATGAAAATGTAATGAATTCTCTTTTGTATATTTTTGTATGAAACGCATACATTCTTCCATGTGTTTGATTCATCATCCATGAATGATTATGATCTCTTCCTTGGAATTATACCCTGGAATCAGGTACTAACTGCACTCCTACAATAAAATAATAACTTACGATTCCATTGGAGTAAGACCGCCATCACTTTGCATGAATAAAACATTAACTCCCTTCAGATTGTCCTTAAAACCTGATGCAAAGCCCTGCAACCAAAATTCACCATTCTTCATACATGTTACGAAAATATTTAAAATTAATTGTGACCTGAGGTATTCCATGTTTTGAATGAGCATGCGGTAAATTTTGCCCTACTCCCAGTTGAAGCTGCGAATCCGTGGCTCATGATTTTTTGAAAATCAAATCCACAGGTTTTAAAACTGATCTTAAAGGTATACCATCAAATTTAAAGGTAAAGGCACCCAACAAAAAGCAAATATGACAGGTAAAAGTGCTATTGGTCGATTTATGGTAACGATCAAGAAAGTTACTCTTGCTGTATCTTTTATATAATTTTTGGGAACTTTGACGTCTCATCCGCACCCTTGAAGCTGTTTATAAGCTGCTTTTACTGCTATTGTTTCTCAAAATCGTCCAGAATAAATATTGGGTTTTAGAGTTTGTACTGCATGGAGATAAATTTATTGGATACAATAATGGACAAATTGATCATTAGGGCAGTATTCATTGTCGCTCTTTAGACAACTCCTTTCCGTAGGAGGCCTCATATGGTTCTTGTGGTGAATAACCTCTCAATCTCTTCAAACTGTCTGGATCAACATGTAAACCATAAAATGAGGCCTCCTCACTCCTGAGCAGAGAAGCTGTCTAAGGAACGACTACAAATATGACCCCAAGATCCCCTTTCTGAAAGAAAATTACTGGTAACATTAGACTAGGAATACTGAGACAGGACTAACATTAGACTCATACATTGCTATGTTGAAGGAAAGGAGCAATTGAAAAATAGAAAATTTAAAAATTAGATTGATTTTCTGAGCAGCAAAATTTTGGACACATATTAATCTCCTAAGGAAGAAAACGACATTTCTTTGAAAGGAGTCAGGCGCCAACAGCTGTTGCCGAATAACCAAAGAAAAATTGTACAGATCCTCTTGAAAATTTCAGAGCATTAATTTGAGACTACGGACAAATTCCCTGAAACTCTTGAGCAAATTGATACAATTGGCACAACCGTTCTTTAGTGAGCAACCATTTCTTTGTCTTACTTTTTTCACCATTCAAATTCTAAATGATGTTCACTTCAGAGAAATGAGTGATATTACTTACTTGTACATATTTTTGAATACATGGTGTGAGGTAAGCATCAGCACAAGCTGTGAAACCACGAGAGACAATACGCAACATTGGCATTACTTCATGCGACAATGAAACTTGGGTGATTCCCAGAGATTTGGCTATTTCGCCTACCTCCAACTCATCGTTTGCATACCTGTTAAGGATAATTATAGAAATATTTTATTTGAATGTTCTTTTAGATTTTCAAAATTTGTAGGACATGTAAGCTCCTAATAACTCTCAGTTTGACCCCCTAACAATAAAAATATCTGAAATAAAACTCTAAAAAATGAGAGCATGAGCTTTGGAACTTTCATTAGACCCTCTCTTGTGTGGTTACTGTCAGCTGACACCGTCTCTATTACTACCGTGAAGTTTATAAAAACCATTTTAACACAGTTTTTTATTGCTCATTCAAGAAAATAATAAACATGTGTTAAATCATTTCTGTGAAAATGCCCGTAAAGAAATCAGTTCCAAGTGTTCCTCGGCCAGAAAAATTAGATTATTTTTGAAGACCTAATCAGGCTGTTGCACAGTTTTTTTAAAAATTCATTTTTGGAAAGTGGGTAAAAAATGAGAATGCCTGCATTTTTTTAACAAGTTTCAACCTCCGACAACAAAATTTACCCTTCATATGCCTCCATTTTCCTGTTTTTAATTAAATAACAATTTTAGCTGAGAAATAAAAATTTCGAAGCCACCAAAAATGTAACCATGTTTCAACCGAAAAAATTTTATGCCCACAAATTTCGTAATGTAACACTGAGAATTGGCCTTTATGCGTTATTCCACCAACGTTAATTTACTCTTAGGTTCCAATTGTGATTAGAGGTTACTTCATGATCAGCTTTGCATTATTATCGTTTTTTTAAATGAATATTTCTTTTCAATTACGATTGTATTTTTTTCGCCTGATCACTCTGAGAGCTTTAATAAGAGAAAAAAAAATGAATAGATGCTTCTTTGATGTTTTCATTAGTGAAATTGTGTATGCGCGATAATTTTAACGCTTTTAATCGTGTGGCAGCTATGTTACATTGGTTTCAAGGTACATGGTTGAAACCATGGGTCATTGCCTCATATGACATCATAAGCTTCAAGCCAATGAGAAACATTCTTCTGATAACTTCAAATTTAGGTCTCTTTTTTTCAGCCAGAATTTCTGTTTTGAACTTTTCAAAGCTCCAAAATACGTTTCTTGCAAGAATCTACATAAAAAACACCTCTATTAACAGCAATTCTTGGATCTTGCAACAGCCTTATTAAGTTTCAAGCACAGGTACTTACATGTAAGAATGCATTAAAACAACCGCTATGCTGTTGATGCCCTTTTGTTTAACCTTCTCCAGGTCCTGCCGCACTTTCTCCTTGTCGATAGTCTTCCAAACATGCAACATTTCACCTGTTGTGCCAATTTCAGAACCTCTCCAAAATTCATTGGGTAGTTGACACTGTCCTTCCATACAAGGCACTACTCGAGCATCAACTTCCACCACTTCCTCATACAGCACACCTGGTGTTGTTATTTTCTGGAAAGAATAATTATTATTTATTGATAATGCTACCCATAAAATGATAACAAATTAAAAATTACGATCTTGGAATGCTGAGCAAAACTGTTACATTCCTTATACATTTTTATAAGTTTTGGAACAGCTGCTTGATAAAGGAAACCTCATCATCTTATTTGTGAGAAGATAGGAATTATACTTGTATAATTAAACATATTTTTTGAAATAATTCTTACTCTTAAAGATAGTTAGCAGTAAAAGGGGGATGTTGTTTGTTGCCTACATACATTATGTAAAGTATAATTTGAGTACGTCCATAAAGAGGGAAGAAAAGAAATGCGCCTGGCTGGGTGTCCCCTTGGGTGCTTTTGAAACTCTGTTCACTCTATGCTGTGCTGATGATCAGATGGTGATCAGGAGTGTAGAAACTTCCGGATCAAATCACCGGCCAGGTCAAGAGCTGGTTGCATTAAATAGGGGATTCCCTGCGATGTAGGAGAACTAGAAAAAGGAAAACGGGGGAACTCCATGGAAAATATGGAGTTTTAGCAGCAGAAAAATTCAATTTTTTGGGCAAAAGGTTTTTTTGTCCTTAGGGGTAAGCAATCATGAAATTTGTTGAAAAAAGATAATTCTTCGGTGGATAATGGATACATTCACTTACCAAATCAAATATTTTTGGTCTAGCCTGATTCCCGATGTAAAGCAAATCTTTAAAGCCTTTGGTGATGACGAGAGCCATTCTGTCTCCTTTCCTCTCAAGCAAAGCGTTTGTTGCAACAGTTGTGCCCATTCGGATCCACTCAATTTGTGACCCATCAATTGGTTGATCCTGGGGCATCTTTTGTCCTGTTTCCTGAAAATTGATGAAAATCCAATGTAATACATGGTGAATAGGTCTCATGATCTAAGAAGCACTAGGTCAGTTCTCGCATTGACAAACCCTCCACTCGCTTGGGTAAATCGCTACCCCTCCCTCGCCTACTGAAGTTTTGCCATGACCCAGTAGGAGCCAACGCTAGTTGACAGAATTTAATTGGTCACATAGCCAAGTCCTCAAACTTCCTGCTGACATCATGCACAGAGAAGAGGTCTCACTTTCATAGCTGGACTGACCTAGTGCTCGTTCGATTATGGGCATGACTTTGATTATTCAAAAAAAAGAAGCCATTACTTCAGAAATCTACCACATTGCTTCTGTGCTTTGCAATCTCTCAAGATTTATCACCCAAGAATCCAGCCCCAAAAACATCTCCCAAAACCTACGCGTAGGTATATAGAATTGGATTGGATCTAGTCAAGGCAATGAAGAAAACGATATGGGATTCAATGGGTTTAGTTCAAATACCTTCTCTAGAATTCTACGGATTCCTTCTCTGGGAGCATCAGGATAATTTGATGGGTCAACGGACAATAACTTCATCACCCTCACTTCTCCATTAGGACACTCAGCATAGATATCGGTGAAGGTCCCTCCTCGATCAATTGCAAATCTAAACTTTCCACTCATTTTGGCTGAATGAATGACCAAACCTGCAAAAAATCCAAATACATAAAAACAAGGAGGGTTGAAACTTTTACAACTGTGATTCTACCTAGAATATTAGGTACCTATTAGCTTTGAATGGAGTATGGAGAATTTTTCAGTACCTAAAATGTTTAAGATACAGAGCAATGATGGTAATATTATTATTTTGTAAACAATCATTTAAAATCCCTGGTATGTGGGTAATTCTTTGGCTTACTGGAAGCACTAAATGAATATATTACGATGCTAAAAGGCAGGACGCAAGCACAGTCTTTGTACCTAGTTCCTTTAGATTTAACTCATATTCACACAGTTCTTCTTGGTGGAATTGCATCCAAACATAAAAGTGGAAAATATTTCAATTAAGATCAACTAAAATTTTGAATTTCTTCCACATGATGGTTTATCAGAGGGTAAACAAGACTAGACAACTATAGGAGTGAAACTGCCGCTCCTTCATCCATCTTCGTAAGATAAATACATATACTGCACCAACCAAGGGTTCTTGCTTCAACCATACTGCTCTGCTGATACAATCATAAATAATGAAAACCTTCAAGCTCTTGATGCTTGAGTCATCTCTTGTTATGAATTAATAAAATACCTACCTATTGTAAAATTCTAACAAAAAAATTACCCTTACTAAATTTCTGCACCAAAAATCAAATTGCTTCGAAGAAAGCTATACACTGTTTAATAATTTACATCACTCTCTCTCTCTCTTCAGATGGCAGTACTGTTCGAGTATGTCCTGGATGAAAAATAAGAAATGGAATTCCGTTACGAACCTTCACAACTTTCTAGGAGAGGTTGAACAAACATGGACTAAAATTTTGAGTTCTGAAGTGAAGTGAATTAGGAACCGTGATTCATCTAATAGAATTTCAACGATAGTAATTTGGCTCTTAAAATGTAGTCAACAAACAAACCAAGGAAATGACTTACCTGGGCAGATAACAAATTTGCAAAATATGTATCAGAATCAACAAGTAGATTGTGTTAAGTGATTGATCAAGTCACATTTCGAGGGTACATACAAAAAACCTGGATCAGTTTCCAATTGCAAATAAATGTAGTTATTTTCCACTGAAAACTCCTTGTACTTGAACAGGAAAAAGCAGACAACTTATCAGCATTTGGTGTTACAGATAAGACACTGATAAGCTGATAAGGATAGAAATCTTCACTCTTCTGTCTTCTTCAACTAGAACATAACCTCAAACAACAAACTTATTTCAGCAAGGGAACTGTAGAGTGCGCGGCTGTCTCCAGTCAGTCGCAGCGCGAAAATTCAAAACAAAAACGGTCGATTATTAGACGGTTTTTCAGAAAGCAACGATGACGAGGACTTGAGATGAGAAGGAGAAGCCCTAGGCGCGCCGGTCAGCATAAAACACATATTGGCGCCTACAAGAATCCATGAATACTTCACGCATTGCGTCAAACGTGGCGCAGTCAGCAGCGGCTTGGCGTGAAACGCATAGCGCCCACAAGACTGTGTGAATACTTCACGCATTGCGTCGATAACAGTGCCGTGCCGTCAGCCAGCAGCGGTCAGCGTGAAACGCATTTGTTGGGATACCTCACGCAATGCGCCAAACACAATGCGGTCGGCGCGGTGGCGGAAATAAAACTTATTAAACCATGTTTATTCTTCCATAATTTTTTCGTTCATTTCTTATAAATGACTTTCTTGTCCACACAAATATAGGTTTAGGGAACTTAACTTTCGCGCCACGTTCCGTGAACTTTTGCTAGTGTTGACGGGGCTTTCACAAAAAATGTGCCCAACACGAGTAAACGCGTCTTATGCATCCCTCCTCCTCCGGCACGTTCACTTGATGGTTTGTATCGATGTTTCAAAACGAATGAGGAGGTGGCAAAATACAGGCGGCCCATGGGCGGCAAGTAAGTAAATCCAGACCTGCTAGGATCAAAATCGAAAGTTCTCCGATCGAGCCGAAACCAAGCAAGCCCGCATGGAAATGACCCGCTGAGTCCGATTTTATGGTCGGGAAAGCTCTACGAGTTTGCTATAGACCGCGCTATCGGCAAAAAAAAACACTTTCACAAAAACACTCGCCTCTGACGGTTCCTCATTAGCCTCGTCACGCGTTGGAACCATGCGTAATCGATTCTACACCTCAAAATACGTAGGATACGACTAAAATCTAGAAAAAAATTTCCCAGCCCAAAATTGAGAAAAATCAACAGGGGTTATGTGACATGGAATGGACTTTATTTAAATTACGGAAAGTGCAAAGTGCGGTAATGAATCTTAACATTTCATTAAATTCCACATTTGAAGTATTAAATTGCATTTCGACGGTGGAAGTGCAAAAATGCGTGTGTCGGTTGCGGTGTTTCGAAATCTCGGCTACTATTTTATTTGTTAAAAGGAGACCAAACCAACATCATTGCTTTAAGTTTTCACAGAATATCCTTTTGTGAAGAGGAGAAATATCACTGGAATTTTCAAAAAATGACGTTTAGTGGTTCCCAATGCAGAAAATGAAGTATGACAGGGAGCTTGCGATGACGCAAACTGAGATACGCATTCTGTAGTTTCACCGTCGATTTGCTTCAAGTCCAGTGGCTTGGCGTACTTTGCGAGATATCGATTGACCTGCAACTTAAATCTATGCTAACTTAAATCTATCTATCAAGGTGTTCACACCTTAATAATCGATTCTTTACTACAGCTTCGAATGGAGAAATATCGATGATCACGCCACGCCACTGATCATGTCTCGTGCACCTCTATCAGTTTGCGTTATGAGTGAATGAACTTAAGATGAGCAGAGTGATGGTGAGTTAGCATCTCGATAAAATCTGAGCCCTTTTTGTCCATCGCAGAAAACGGAACATTCTTTCGACACAAAACACCGCGAGGAACAGTGGAAGGTTACACGAAGTTAGGTTCGAACCCAAAATGCCACTATTTTAACTTCGCGGTGGGCCGGGTTGCATACGCTAGATTTTGCGGGCGAAGTCTAAGATCTACCCACGGCCTACGCACGCTCGCAATACACTGGGAAAAAAAAACACATTGGATCTAGAATCCAGACTCTTGAAAACATTGACAAGAAAAAATACTCTTGATTCAATCGGATTTTCGCTTGAATCAAAACGAGGCTTAAACTTAAATTAAGAGGCTTGATTCTTGATTTAAGCTAGATTCTGATTGAATCAAGAGTACTTTTTTTTGTCGATGTTTTTAAGAGTCTGGACTCTAGATATAAAGTTTTTTTTTTTTTTTTTTTTTTTTTTTTNNTTTTTTTTTTTTTTTTTTTGTTTTTTTTCCAGTGTATAATACAGCTCTCGCTATAGGGTACGGTACAGGGTACACGCCCAGAGGTGCGATCAGTGTTTTCCATGAGCAGATGTGACCCGGTCCGCCGCGAAGAATTAAAATAGCTGCATGTGATGTCCAGACTCAACTTCGTATGTTCTTCTATTGTTTTACACTTAGTGCTTTTTTCAAAAATCACCTTAGTTTGTTAATATCGCGTTACAAATCTGTGCGACAGAAGCGTCCAAATAGTTGATAGAAATAAACGTCAAGTTCTAGAAATACACTACTAATTGCACCCATACCACACCGCGAAAGCTGTGGGCGGATTTCAGATTCCGCCCACAAAATCAAGTGTATGCAACCCGGCCCACCGCGGAGTTAAAATAGTTGCATGTTGGATCCGAACCCGACTTCGAATATTCTTCCGTTGTTGAACACCCCCCGCATTATTCAAATGCCTAACCTCCGGGAGGGTATCTTGGTTGGTGATGAGAGTTCAAAATGTTAGTCCCTTACTGCACATTTAGTCCAATTGTCCAATCCTCCTCTCATAATCATGCCATTTTGCTTTCAATTTTTTTTGCTGAATTGCATTATTTCAAACTTTCTTGATAGTTCTCATCAGGCTGGCGGGAACGGAAATCTCCGGTTTTGGGCCGCAGAGCGGCTGGACGGCAGAGCCCCCTAGTCATTTAAAAAAAAATAATAATAAAAGATTACAATATAAAGGAAAAAACAAAATCTTCTTCATTCCCTTTCCTTCTTTTTTACCTTTCTTCGTCTTATTCGTCTTCTTCTTCCTTTTTTCCTCTTCTTCCCTTTTATCTCCTTCATTCTTTCTCCTCTTCTGCCTTTGTCTATATATATTCTTCTTCTTCTATCTCTTATCTTTCCCTTTATTCTTCTTCCTCTTTATATTCCCCTCTCCTTCTTCTTCCTCCTCTTTTCTTCATACTCCTCTCAATTCTCCTATTTTCTTTCTCTTTCCCTCTTCTTCCTCCTCATCTTTTCTCTCTCTCTCTTTCCTTCTTCGTCTTTCTCTTTATCCTTTTTCTTCATTCTCTTTTCTTCTTCTTTCTCTATTTTCTCTTTCTCTCACTATTTTCATCCGTATCTCATTTTTCTTCTTCCTCTTATCCTCATCTCCTTCCTTTCTTATTCTTCCTCTTTTCTTCTTTTCTTCTAAATCTTTTCTTCGTCCTCATTCTAATGTCCTCCTCTTCTTCTCCTCTCTCTTCACAATCTTCTTGTGTCACCCTGTCTACAATGCACGCCAATAGAAACCGTCGGACTATGATATGGGGAATGATACGACTATTTGACTATGCGGGAGCCCGTGTTGCCTACCCTAAAAGTTGAAGGCAAACTGGTACGGCGGCGTGAAAATAACTTCTTCCTAACTGTTTTCACGTAAAAATTCATCGAGTGTAGTTTCAAATATGACAGATATGTCACGCACTCACTTAGCATAATCTCTCACATTTCTGGGGAAGGAGGGGGGGAGGCCCCCCTCGTTCCGTCCAAGCTACAAAGCGTGTTACCTTCGCTTCCCTGCCGAAGATGCACCCGTGACGGGCGTGACGAATATCCTCGAAGGCGGAAAAGTGAAAAATTCGTCGAAAAGGGCTTATTAGAGGAGAGGGCGGCCCTGCACCGCTCTTTGTCGAGGCCCGATCGTCACCTTCGCCTAGTTTCACTTTTGCCCGCGTCCGCCGTTGACGTCGACTTGGGGAAACCGGGAAAAGCGAATCGGGAGCGCTTAAAAGGGCAGAATGGTGGCGAGCACGAAAATAATGAATGTTGGGCTAATGTGGAATGTTAATGATTCGATTGTCACAGCACGCCAGGCGTTGTCACCGATCGCCGCGCCCCGGCCCCGGCACAGGTGCCAACGCGCTTTCTCCCGTTGCCGCTCCGCATCCGAAAAGCCGACGGAAAACCCACCAAGAAAAGCTCACGGTTTCTATCTCCAGGCTGATTATTTACATTGATAGACAAGGCCATAGACAAGGCGATAGACAGAGAAGACATGCGGAGTTAGCAATCCTATTGGTTGAAATGGGTGGTTCTTATACACTAAGGGAGAAAATGATAGACTAACTATTGGGTCTCTCGTGGGTTGCCGTTACTTAGTCTATTACCTACCTCCTTTGTCCATTGCAATCACCCACTTTCACCGATGGGATCCCTCCATATCTCTTTTGTCTTCTTTGTCAATAGCTTTGTCTATCAATTTCAATAATCAGGCTGATTCAGGGTCGGACTGGCTCGCATCTGAGGGCGTAGACCCTTGGCTGGTTAAAGGGGCGTAATGTGATATTTTCTAGTAGAGCATTCCCTACGTGGAGAAGGGTTCAGAAAATTTTGGCAAATAAGCACGAGTTTACGCTATTTTCAGGTTCAAAGTTTATTGATCGCTCGGAGTAAAAATTGCAAAATTGAAAGTAAAGCTCAGCATTGAGAGCTCACGGTTCGCGTCATCGCGCCTTCAATTTTTCAGATGCAGCACGGACGTCTATCAAGTACGAATAGTTGTATCTCTGCGCCGTCTTAAACATGAATCCTTTCCCTCCCTCTTTTTCCATATAGTGTTTGTTTCCGTTTGTCTTATTCGTAATGGTGCTTCAAGCACTACGTGAGTAATATAGCCGAAGGTAGGAGAGATGTCTTCAGGCCTTTTTTCAACTTTTCTTCCGAATAAGAGCGACGCTTCATTGACAGCATAAAGCAGAGCATTGAGAGCTCACGGTGCGCGTCATCGCGCCTTCAATTTTTCAGATGCAGCACGGACGTCCATCAAGTACGAATAGTTGTATCTCTGCGCCGTCGTTAACGCGCATCCTTTCCCTCGCTTTATTACCATATTGTGTTTGTTTGCGTTTGTCTTATTTGTAATATTGCTTCAAACTAGAG